GGGACTACAGGCACCCGCCACCACACCCAGCCGATTTTTTAATATTTTTAGTAAAGACAGAGTTTTACCGTGTTAGCCAGGCTGGTCTCAAACTCCTGACCTCAGGTGATCCATCCACCTCGGCCTCCCAAAGTACTGGGATTATAGGCATGAGCCACTGTGTCCAGCCAAGACCCAGGAGAAATTTTATATTGTTTTAAGAGAATTAGGTATATAGAAGATGAGGTAGGTAAAAAGGGACAAACAGTCTCATTTCAAGAAAAATAGAATGTAGCCAACTGGAAAAGAAAGAATATCATGAGGTAACTATAGCACACTCAAGATTGTTTTAAATCTTTCCTCAAAACCAGAAACCTAAAAATTAATTTTCCACAAACGCCTTTTCAACAACTGGGCATTTCCTACACTTACTATGAAGCCAAGATAGTGATTTTTAAAGGCAGTCAAAGCTGCACTTTAGTGCAAATACTATTTTTCTTCTTCTTCTTTTTTTTTTTTGAGACAGAATCTCGCTCTGTCGCCCGTGCAGTGACGCGATCTTGGCTCACTGCAACCTCTGCCTCCAGCGTTCAGGTGATTCTCCTGCCTCAGCCTCCCAAGTAGCTGGGATTACAAGTGTATGCCACCACGCCTGGCTAATTTTTTGTATTTTTAGTAGAGATGGGGTTTCACCAGGATGGTCTCCATCTCCTGACCTCCTGATCTGCCCGCCTCAGTCTCCCAAAGTGCTGGGATTACAGGCGTGAGCCACCACGCCCCGCCTAGCGCAAATACTATTTTTCTAAAGCAATTTCGCACTCTCTGTTTCTGTCACATTGTAGAAAACTCAAATTCCCAGGTGGTATCCCAAGTTTTTAAGCAACTTTGACAAAAACAAACAAACAAAGTATGCATTTCTGTTTTGTTTCTGGTAGTACTTAAGCTCTAACCCAGCAGTGAAAGACTGCTTTCTGGGCTACTGTTTCTGACACTTACCTGTCCCCTTTATTTTCCACACTAGCACATTCTTTGCCTACTTCTCTAGTCCAAGTGATCACATTTATAGAGCATCGATTTCTTATATCAGCTTAATCCTAGATAAGCTTGTTGTGGTACCTTTTGGCATACTAGTCCTTGCCCTCATCACATGGACTGTAGAAGCAAACAACCCTGAATTTGAATACTAGATTTATAACCTAGAAACTATGGTACCTCTGGCAAGTCACTTACGCTCTCTGAATCTCAGATCCCTTATACATTCAAATGATTCATAATAATACTAATGCCTATTTTGGAAGAATTGACTTGCATATGCTTAAATTTATTCAAACATCTTAAGGGTAGATTTAGGTACAGGTGGTAGGATGCTCAGTTCTACTCAGACTTGCTTCCCAGTTTTATCTCTGAGTATGGTCTTCAAACATCACCCTCAATTCTAGTAGTCAGCAGAGATGCTTTTCTGCTGTCTAGCTTTCATGGTCCCTGTAAGACCTACAGGTCTCTAGCTACTAAGATAAAAACACCTGTTATATGGTCCTTAGGTTCCTTATCTAAATTTTAGCTCTCAGGCTGATTTTGCAAATATCTTTCTTGCCCTTTTCTTGGAAATCACCGTATTTTCCCATTCTGGATTGTCTACCTTGATGCCTTTTTCTTTCTAACTTGTCTGAAAAATACTTACTTAGCTAGATAAGGCCAATTCGCTGTTTTTTTTTTTTTT